TATATAGAGAGAGAGAGAGAGAGAGAGAGAGAGAGAGAGAGAGAAAGTCAGTCAGTTTTTCAGATATGTAAACACGGCGGATTCGAAACCGAAGACCAAAGAATTATAGAAAACACGTTTTTTGCTGATGTAGGGACACCAGTGGCAATAGACGTCACTTCGAATTATTTGCCGCTGAAGTAGCGCATTATCTCTATTTGGTGGCCACTTTACTGTCGATTGTTAACTGTTAACAACGGCTAAAGCTATTGTAATTTGTGTGCAATAAATCACATTTATTAGACAATAAACGAGTAGTTTTGTTCAATATAGATTGTATCTAAACGTGTTTAGATAACTTGGTAGTACTATTACTTACTATTACTTATTACTACGAACCTAGCCAAGTGAACAAATCTACAATAGTATCCACCTTTCTAATGAGCTACTGACAAGTATCGATGTAGTGTCTAGGCCAATGTAAGTACTACATCAAATACATACACACACATATATGAGTTTGTGTATAAATTCGGCGAACTATTTTGTAATGGCAGGCATGAACTTACCGGCTATTCTTAATATAAAAAATAACTAGTTCCTTTTAGCACGAAACAACTAAGCCGTAATTTTAACAGAGGCTCTTGACGTCGAAAACGACGGTCTATGTTGTTGCCAGTTTTCGTATGACGTTTGCGAAATCTAAGGAAAATTTCCATGACGTGAATCGAAACATCTCTAATATTTAGTGTTTTAACATTCGTAGCAATATTTGAAGAAGCCATATTTGGTATACCTGGCTTCTAAAGTGAAAATGAACGGCAAATTTTCACTTCTTTTGAGCATTTTAAAAAAAAAAAAAACTCTTGATCTACTCGCAGCTCAACATATGAAGTACGATACTGGTCACCTCTTTCATGTAGCGTGCTTGCGTTTACTAATGTCGCATGGTTATTTAAAAAAAAAAAAAAAAAAAAAAAAAAAAGAACTATTTGCACATTAGGGATGAAGCGTTTACAAAATGACTTAGGAATAGTTTATATTAAATGTAATTGTGGTAGAGGTTAGTTAAATGGAATAAACATTCCCGCCAAGAATAAGACTTTTAGAAAAAAAAATTGTTGAAATATCTGTTTTTGTATTGGGTTGACGAAAAGATATTTCGAGCCAAATTAAAAGCAGCTATTGTTTCTAGTATCAGCAAAATAGTACTATTAAAGTAAATTTTCGCGATGTTATTCGATGAACTGCTGAGGCCACTTGGTAATACAATATCACATCTCCGTGAAGTTCCTATAGTTTCCGTGAAAAAGTTACGACAAGTGATTTTTGAATTCACTCCATTGAAAAGAAATTAACACCGTCAAGGAGATCCTGCGGTGGCCAAAACAGATGCTTGTCTGTTGGTGCGATTTCCGGGTCTTTTAGATTTTCTTCCGATCCAAAGTCTTTCAATTTTGCCAGATAGCTAAAGATGTATGTAGTCCGACATTGTCATGGTGGAAGATAACGCCTTTTCTATTTACTAGTTCCGGTCGAGTTTTTTTCAATGGCTTATTTAAACCCTCTTGGTTGTTGCCAGTAGAGGTCCGAGTCAATCGCTCTGCAACTCCCAACACAAGATTCTGTTCTAATCCTACAAAACGTATGCCATCAGCTTTTTTGACATTAGTCTGGGCTTTGCAATCAAGTCTTTTGTAGTCAGCTTTCTTAAAATGGTTTGAAGCTCTTTGGCGGTGAATGTCTAGTTCCTAGGCATCGCTACTCACGAGCCGGTCTTGCTGAGCAGCTCGCAATGATTTCATCAATTTCTTTCGTAAATGGTCGAAACTACGAGAACCATCTTTCACATCGAAATTTCCGGAGCCATCTTCGGGCCATTTCTTCTGATAACGTATTTTAACGATGAACGGCGCCCTTTTTTTATACGCCCGGGAATCATTTATCACAATAAAATTGCAGAATATAGCAAATTTATGCAGAAATTTCATTTCCCTTCAAGGCACTGTATATATATATATATATATATATATATACATATATATATACATATATATATATATATATATATATATATATATAAGTCAGACATTTTTATTGTGGCACATTTACTGCTTCCAAATCTCAGCTTTCGAATCACATTAACACCGACACGATGCGAGCCATATTATTTGAGATAAAGTCATTAAGCTAGGAAAGCGATAGACAACCCAATATTACGTAATAGAACAAAAGTAGACCTATAATGGAAAAAATTAAAGTATGTAATAAAAACAGTTTTAACTTTAGTTTTAAAGAAAGCGGATTTGAAATTGAAACAGTATTCATAATCATACAATTTGTGTATATTGGCTATTTGCCGCTTTCTTGAAGCGGCATCCTACAAGCTTGTTTGACAGCAGTGAGTTTTTTAGTGTTGGTTTGTATGGCTGATCGAAGTGTTCAAATAATAATAATCGTATTTAAGTAATACGTCTCAAGGCTGCAACATGTTGATCGGGTTTATCTATCATATGATATACGAAGGTAATAATCAAAGTAAAGGACGATTTATTTTTTCAGTAAACTACTATCTATGATTGTTTACATTACACAAATAAAATCTATTTTTTGCCTTATACAAAACGTAATGACGAACGGATACGATACATAAAATTCCTCTCTGTTCGGCTCACTGTCGATGAACTCACAAGCAACGTAAAGATCGCGCCATTTTCAACTAGGGCTGAAAGAATGCTAACTGGAAATAAAAGCAAATAGGTTCTGCGTTCTGTGCGGGTTAAAATAACGGTCAGACTAGCTGTCCAATTATTCGTGCAGTTAATTGGGTTCCGCATACTTTTCCGCGGTAAGGAACAAACCCATGAAGCAGAATAGATGGACTTTTATTGCTGGGCAGGAAATTTCCAATCATTTAATAGTTAACTGTTAGGACAAAAGGACTGATTTCATGGAATCACATTTGTGTCGCATGGAAATCGTTCAAACATGAGCTAAGATTCTGCTAAAATTATCAATTTACCAAAGAAAGAACGTGCTTAATTGGATATAATGTATTATTAGGTCTTTTTTTTTGTTGTAAATGTATACTATTTGTCGTAGCCGCGTCCAATTTGAAGCAGACGCTTCAATTTACACTTTCTATATTGTTTGTCGTAAATGTTGTGTTTAGAATTATATTAATATAAATCCTATGTATTGTATTAACGATACTATCCTTTGTTTAGGTATTTTGAAGGGAGTAATTACGTGTATGCAAGCAGCCCAGAGCTAATCGCCAGACATAGGCAGTTTAACATTTTGATTATTTCTGAAGTTGGCCTTTCATAAGAGCCTGGGCGAGCTAATTACATGGGAAAGAAGTGGCACGACCGATTATGATAAATACAGTATTTAACTTTTTCTTTAATTAAAATAACGACGTTAACTTAGCTATAACCTAAAGACTGACTAGATCTACTGGATTCTCGCCGAACCTCCCCGTCTTATATTATTCTCTTGAATCTTTGTCTTCGTTAATGCACTAGGTATTTGGTCGAATGTGCTTCTACAGCCTTAAAGATTACGCGGCTTTATGTTTTAAAGTTTTCCTACGATATTATAAGGGTTTGGGTCTACCTGACAATATTTGCTGTTTGTCAAAGGCTCCTCATGCCCAGGTCAACAAATGGCATCCCCTTGAGGTCGTGGGAATGACACTATGACTAATATTCCCGACATTGTATGCTGTGACGCAGTAATCTAGTTACTACAGTATACCTCAAAACATATCTTGCCTTAACGTCTCGTTTTATTTTATCGCAACAACAAACAGTGGCCGCAACAGCGAACAATAGAATGGACGGAAGCTCGGGAGGAGGCGACATTCGACGGCTGGCCGACTACTTTGTCGTTGCAGGATTGTCAACCGAGCCTACTCCGATGCAGGACTCGACGGAACTCGACGAGGTTCTTCCAATTACGGACATCGCTGTGATCATCACGTCACAGAAAGAGGTGGCTCCGCTCGAATACCAGATGATCGAGCGCACCCCCACAGGGCTACAGGCGGATCTTAACCACGGAAGCATCCGTTGCCCCTCTGTCTACCTCTGCTATCGTCGAGGTCTCGACAAACCACCTCTAATGGATATCGGGTAAGGCTGACTATTAGAACATTAAATCGGAGAGCGTTCATCTTTAAATATAAATAATAATATTGTTGCTTAGTGGAGTGGTTCAGTAATTTTAAATGTTTATTATAAGTGTTGCTTGCTCTGTAAAACTATTTGTATTCAAGCTACTGCATGAACCCCAAACTTTGCAGCTATCGATATTAGATAGGTGTGTGATATTAGAAGCAGGGTAGTATAAAAACTTTTACTGCACACTAGAATGAGTTGAGTAACGTTCGGCAAAAGGTATTGACGTTAAGCTGTTGGTAGCTGCACTGTCGTAGAAGTTGACAATAGTTAGAGCGAGACTTTTTAATAATTACTGACACCGTATTTGTCGCTCTTAGACCACTGTCTGCCACGGACTATTCAAGAAGACAGCACCTTTTCTACGCTATACGGACTGGTCGTTTAGCACTTTGCGGTCCGAGACATCCCGGACGATGTTAAGGACGATGTCACGAAGCTAGGGGCAAGAAAAGGGGCGGAGATAACTGGTAACATCAAGGAGGGAACACAGCAAGAAGTAGTGATAGGGATGTGACAAAAGTGGTGCAAAGTTGAAAGTGTAATACCGAGACATCGCCTGAACGCTAGGGAGCAAGTTGTCAAGGATAGTAAAAGTGACGATAGGGTTACCCTGACTGGCGACGGCTCCTCCAGGGTATGAGAGGCGAAAAAATCTACACTGAGCATACCGCACCGCGTGTTCTGTCCATCGGTTTGTGTGCCTCGTTTGCGTGTGCGATACGAAGTTGGTGTTGTTATCACAGTCGTCGTCTCCTCGTTCTCCTGGCGACTGTTCTGCTTGGTCCGTTGCCTGGATGTTCTGCGCCCTTAGAGCCTGCCTGCCTGCCTACCAGCTTGGTTACTCTTTTGGTGTTTCTGTATCCTTCGTGCTTTCGTGTTCTCGTCGTCCACTATGTGTCCTGTTCTCTCTCCTTATGAGCTCGGCCTTTTCGACGCTCCTACATCCCCGCCTTAGACCCATGTTCCCGCTGTCAAAGAACGGGGAATTCTTTCCCTCTGCACTTTGCCGACTTTCCCTTCGAGCTTCTAGTTCTCACGTAGTTTCCTCGTGCTGTTGTCCAAGAAGCAGTGCTCCTCTCCACGACAACCCTATGTTGCTCTGCGTTCTTTTCTACACTTTTGCTCTTATACCCGTCCCTGTGCACATGGCTCTCTTCCTTGACCCCTCGCTTGGATGCATGAGGAGTACTGAGGAGTATAACTCTAGCGATAACAACGGTAACGACGACGACGACGACGTGGAGGATGATGCTACTATAACCGACCAACTAACGGCTCTACCGCCTGCCGCTTACTTGATGAGCCTTCAGCGAAGCACTAAATCTTGTCTGTGTGTAGTACCGCTGAAGCCCAGAACGGTTAACCATTGCTGCCCAGCCACCTCCCGTTCCTTAGCCCACCTCCGTCTGCATCGAGAGCGTAAACACTACCGCTATGATCTCACTAGACTCGCAACAACTTTTTTTCTCAAATTGAGTGTTGGACCCGTTTTATGACCGTTATCCTGTCCAGCCCGTTTTGCCAGGTGAGCTTTGCTGAAAGGTTCTATTCGCACCAACAGCCCGATTGTGCCGATCAAAGTGTACTGCCAAAGGAAGCCTGACATTCGTACATTGAACAGGGAGATAAGCACCAGCAGGGCTCGGCGTTTTCTATGCTAACTAGGTCATTCGAAATGACGAGAAAGTGGTCAGAAGGATTCGAGAGGTTGAGTCGTAGGAACGCCAGTTCGACGCGAGAGGGTTAAGGGTCTCGGGAACTGTGGAATTATGGGTTTGTGGACTATGTATGCCGATGTGTATTTCGTTATATAGACATTCTACAGGCACTTCTAGTTGCGGAAAGGACTCGGGTAAGCGGAGATGGACAGATGCATATCGCACTGGAGAACTGCTTGCTGGATGCGAGATAAAAAGGCATCTGTCGTAAAAGCTGTGGCTGCATAATTAATTTGCGTTTCAACAGCCTGCTTTGTTGTCGTACGGCTACACAAACTTATTTAGCCGTCAAACTTTTTAGGGACATGCGAAGGCTTGCTTGCAATCCAGCTTGTCGTCGCCCGTTTGCGCTTTTACATAGTTGGTAGCGATATTGACTCACGCTGGTAGGTTACTAAGCCCACCTTCTGTAGGACCTATATAGATAGAATTGCCGTGGGTAGAATGTCCTTTTATGCTACTACAGTAATATTTATTTGTACCTTGAGCTAACTGGTGCATTAGACAGAATGCATTGAGATGCACTTATCAAAACGGAAGAACTAGCTTAAATAGACGTTCATATCAGACGTTCTATTGCATTTGATGCATCTGTAGTGTAATGTTATCAACTAGCTATCATGGGATTCGATTGGATAAGTACGATTTACCCATGTCATTCACTGGTGAGGTACCCGTTTTGGTCAGATGCTTGCGCGCGACCAAGTCAACAATACAGACGAGATGCTAATTACGGGCATCGATAGAGAACATCGTTTGATCGTGTTTTTTAACCCGAAGATCAAACAAATCAGACTTTTCTACAAAGGCGATTTTTTCAAACCGTAATGTGTGCAATGGCATTGTGTATTGCATGATAGGTATGTTTCGCCTCCCAGATCCTTTTTATGTTACCTTGTAGAATGGCTTAAAATAACGGGGTTTGTATCCGCTGCTTTGCACCTTAAGCATTGTCAGAGAATTCGTATAGAGGGTGTCTTAAAGTTATGTAGTTGAGAACATGTCAGTAAATCTGAACGTCTTAACTTTTCGCCGATCCAACACTCTAAATGACCGAAATCAGATGCCCTTGACCTGAACGACACGTAGTTCTAGCAAGATGGTATCACATGCCATTACGCATTTGGCTGAAAGTTTTCCTGTACTAAAGCAGCCTTGTGCGATCGGGCAATTGAAAAAAAGTGTACTTCGCAGAGAATTACGACAATTACACCTGGTTTATTAAAAAAAAAAGTTATCGAAAGTTGTGTCCTTCTCTTTTGATTTCACTGGTCGCTTCAATGACACAGTCAAAACAAAGCATAACTGCTGGCATTGCTATCTGCAATATGATTTGATCAATTTAAGTATTTAGAGATCATCTTGTATCCGTTGAATTTATTAATTTAGTAATCCAGTTTCCCTCTTTTCCACCCTTCTTTCTCTTCATGCATTTTAACTAAAAAATGTCTACCTATTTTTTTTTAATCGACAGAGTTCTTTATGAGGATAAACATCGAATCATGCATGATAGTGAAGTGTTAACAAAAACGCCGTATGGCCGTGTCGCTAACGTCAACAACTCTTCGTCGACGAAGACATTTTTGACATATAGACGGGCCCGAGACATGTTACCGTGCAATTCGCTCGTCGTCAAGGACATCGTCGTCATTTTGACTAGCGAAGGGGAGCAGCCTCCTCACGCCTTCTGTAAGATTGACCATAACCTTAATAAAAGCGTGATCGGTTCAGATGTCTACCTGTGTTATAAGAAGTCCATTCATCGGCCGCCACTGATCCTCTATCGGCCGGAGACATTACTGCGTTTTCCAGTCACGGACAAGCAGCAGTTCCCGTTACCACAAGAAGTTCATCTGTTTTGTTTACCACTTGGCGCTACGGTCGAAAAGTGGAAGGAGCATAGTTCCAAGCCGTCATCACAGTTCTCCACGTTCGTCTTTACCTCACAAACAGCCACAAAAGCATATGGAGCCTCTTTAAGTTTCTACGAGCCTTACGAACCTTCGATTGACGAGCTCAAGGCACTCGACGGAGTCACCAAAGAGGATCGATGCTATGCAACGAAAAGTATCTGCCTCGTTTCCCGGTGGCCGTTCTTCCGTCCGTTTCGAAAATTTCTCCAGTTCATTTACGCGCAAAGCACGTGTGACGACCGAGGAAACTCGATCGAGCAATACATTCTACATTTTCTTTATAACATCCCATTTCCATCGATCGAACGGCCGAGAGTCATTGTACCACTGAACGACGACGTGACTTTGGCTTTGCGTCACCTTACTGACACCGCTCTACCAACGTCAGGAGCGTCATTTCTCGAGCTCCTACTCAATCTCGGTCCAGACAACTGCATACTTACGCTGCTTCTAGTACTCTCTGAGAACAAAATACTGATTCACTCACTGAGACCGCAGTTGGTCACATGCGTAGCCGAAGCTTTAGTGTCGGCGTGCTTCCCGCTCAGCTGGCAGTGTCCCTATGTGCCGTTGTGCCCGTTGGGTGTATCCGAGTTGATGATGGCTCCCTTGCCGTTTCTGGTTGGCGTCGATTCGCGTTACTTCGACATGCACGTCTTGCCGAACGACGTGGTATGTGTGGATCTGGACACGAACGCCATTTTCATACCCGTCGACAAGCAGCAGCTAAGTCAGCGCATGATGCCAAAACGAGCTACAAGGAAGTTGAGAAGCACACTGTTCGAGCTGTACAATCGTGTAACACGCTTTACTCAGCGCCGGAAGGATATTTTTAGTAACATCAAAGATAAAACCGAGGCGGATTTTGTGGTATTACGGAAGGAGCGGGATCTTGATTTGCTTATACAGGAAGCGTTCCTTAAATTCATGGTAGAGATCTTACGAGATTTCCGTCGTTATCTGCGGCCGGTTACCGAGCAGCCGAAAAACGTCAGCGCGGAAACATTGTTCGATGTCGATAATTTTATGAGATCACGTGATAAAAGTTTTCTGAAGTTTTACGAGATGATCGTACGCACGCAAATGTTTAGTCGGCTCGTAGAAGAGCGGAGTTTCCTATCGGAGAACGATCATTCGCTGGCGTTTTTCGATCAGTGCTGTGATATGTGCGATGGCAGTGGAGAAGCAACGGAGGACCTGTTACATATTGGGGCTGGTGAAGATAATCATACAGCTTACATCGCCCCGCCAGAACGACCACATGATCCAGAGCTACTGAAGTTCGGAGGATGGGAAGCGCTGGACTTTACAGCATTTGCTAACATGTTTATCGATGATAAAGTCCTTGAAGGCAAGTAGAACTTGAGGAGTTTGTTTAGCTGCGTCACACAATTTATATCTGTATAGCAAATATTGATTACGGCGTTTAATATTTAGTTGACCGAAAAGTCAGTGACACAAAAACGATGACTAGTGCACAATGTATCATATGTAAGTAAAGCCTACAGTTTGAGTGTTTATCTAATAACTTATAGACACTGTGAGGCAGGCCAATCATAAGAGTGTGTTCCAATTTAAGCTAGTTATATATAGCTTCACCTCCTGGAAATATTTACGAGTAAACTAATAGTAAAGTAAAAACTAAATAAAAATAATACATTTGGCATACCATTTGAATATTGGCATAGGGTTTTATCCCAATGGCTTTAACTTTTCATATTTTTAGCCACAATTCCACCTTGATCTTTCGAACCGCACATGTGAATTCAAAGCTTGCTGGTCCGCCTATCTATCTTCGCTAATGATGCTTTCGGCATAAATCACACATATATATATATATATATATCAATAAAGGTGTTTTAACTATAAGGATTTATTGCTAATGGTTGAAAGAAATTATTTACAATAATCATTATAATTTTAACTGTCCTGTTTTGGTTGTTTGGGGCGTTTGAGTGGGAATACAGATACCGATGGGCTAATGCTTCCCGCGAATGATCAACCCAGCAGCCCGGTCATCAAACGCACAAAACACGAAGTGAAATCTGCAATGAAACAGGCTCGCCAACAAAATGACGTTCCTGCACGGTGGGGAAGGACATTGCTCTCGGCCTGCTATGCCATTTGGTTTGTACATCTGCCTTCATACTTAGCCACGATGGATGCCGAAGAACGGCCTGCCGCAGTTCGTATGGCCTTTCAAATTTTATGCGACGCCCAACAAAGGCTTCGGCATTCTGTTGATGAGGTTCGTTAATCGTTAGTTTTAAACATCTTCTGCTAACCGCTGTATGATGAGGTGGTACTATCTCTACAATTTGCTTCTATAATCCGCACTACTAATTTTTGTTTGTCATTACTAACGTTGAAGTGATCTCATCCATTCTGTTTAGATAGCTTTACGCATGCCGCTGGCATTCGTCTGCTCTAATGTTCATATGCTACAAGTAACAAGTGCTGCATCATACCACATAACAAATCTTCGGATATTTTCACTTTTTACAGTTTTCTATTCTTTTGCAGGTATGCTACCGGGTAATTCTCTCGCAGTGCGCTATTTTCTCTCAACCGGCATTAGCTGTCAAGGTCCTTATGGAGATGAAACGACGCACCCTGATTCCCAATGCAATGACTTACGGTTACTATAACAAAGCAGTTATGGCTTCAGCATGGCCTCAGTCGCGAGCCTGGCGGCGCCTTAAGAATCTTGTACAAGGGGTAGCCCAGTTCAAAACGGCGCTTCGACGATGTGGGAGTACCTCGGTGGCCGCAAGCAGTAATTCACTCGAAGGAATTACGAATATCACGAGGATATCCTCGACACTGTCATTGCCTAGAAACTATAAAGAAAGCTATCTACCATCTGCCGGTCTGCTAATGGCGAGTAGCCAGACAGCGAGCTCACGCCAGACTACGCCAACGCGTTCTACTACCAATTTGTTGCCGCGAACAAAGAGTTCTATTAATATCACTCTGGAGAAGCAGATCAAAGGAGATACCGCATTCATTAAATTTAAAGTAAGCTTATAAGTTTTTCCTGATTCTCTCGATATTTGCTGGATAAGATGATTTACTGTAGAAAAATGAGGAAATACAACGCTTATTGATATGAAATATTCGGTAAAAGCTGAGAAGTAGCCTTTCGAAGTAGATTATGCCGATACATCTGTGTATAATATGTATGATATGTAATGATCGTGATTATGTGCCAACGTTACCGATATGCCGCGTTGAGCAACATTTCTAACTGTGTTGTTCTTTTTTGGGTTTACAGACATTACCAGCGTCCATGGCGCTACTAGAGCAGCCTCGGGAATTCTTCGCGAAAACTGTCAGCCCATCATTGCAAAGAATGGGAAATTATGGTTCGGGGCTACTACAAAGCTTCCAGCTATCAACAAAAATACGACGCTTCTCCGCTGGACCGATCCGACAACCAGATGTCAACGACCTTAAGTACGAAGGAACTTATTGAAGAATCTACATTGAAATCTTAATTTAGTCAGAGTTTTCTTTACGAATCACCCCAAATGTAAGCTTTAATCGGACTCTGTTAACGCTTTGTCCAGCAAACAGAAATGACTGTGTAATCGTATTATGATAGAATTTGCGCGGTGTTTGTCTCGATTATCGACATTTCTTTTATGTTGTGGTTTAATTCGCCATTTGTTAAATAATTTTTTCCTGTACGACATTTCCTCTTCAAAGCCATCGCTTGAAGACATCGCCTAATCACAAATTTGATATATGTGCATTACTTTCATTTTTCATGGAAAACACATAGACGACCAAACAGTTCTCCCAGCGCCAGGCAAACTATTAGTACGGGTGGAAGTACGGTAGTGACGAGCTCAGGTCTTGACGTAATACGTTCGATGGCGTCACGACTAACATCAATGATCAATACAGACGTATACCGAATGCCGACGTCCCGCTCACTCGACCAGATGTTCAACAAGGTGCCTCCTACTGAAGTGAGTTATTCACGTAATCGTTCGTCACAGGATTTGCCCAAGCTGGCGGCCACTGGGGCTCTTGGTGCAGTGGGTAATGTCCACGTGTGGATGAGCTCATGTTGTCAGTGTGTGAACTGCAAAAGTCTCGTCTACGACGAAGAAATCATGAGTGGCTGGACAGCCGATGATTCGAATTTGAAGACGAAATGCTGGTGTAATGCCACGTTCGTGCCTCAGCTTTACGTGACCGTCAGGGACCGTCGTGGCCTCAGGCGTCCAGAGGTTGGTGGCATATTGAGGAAAAAACGAAAATCAAAAGAGTTTTTATACACGATTATTCGGTTTATTGCCTTGCTTCGCGCAATTACGTGTATACTAATTAAACCGCATATAGCAAAAGATCATCTAGTATTCTTTTATTTTGCATATCCCTCAAATAATGTTGCTCTGTATTACTATACAATATCATTGTAAAATATTGATTATCCTTTTTTGTTCTTCGCAGGATTACACATTACCCTGTAGTGACTTCACAGTGCCTTATCTGAGCCCATTAGTACTCCAAAAGGAGGTCGAGAACGTTCTCGAAGGTGGAAACGAGGTCTTCACTAGACCCAACTTTGTTGATGAACATCCAATTATTTACTGGAATTTGGTAGGTTCTTGTATAATATCATGCACTTCTTTTAAGCAGTACTAAAGGCTTCCTGTTAAATAGAATTTATGGAAGTCGTGCTTTAAGACGAAGATCGCTGGTGACTGGATGAGCCCCAAAACTCAAAAGACTTTTCCTTGAGAATTTTTGCTAAAACACTTACGTACTTTTGTGGCGAAAATATACTTAGAAGATATTAGGCGACATAAATAGAGTAAACAATCATTTTGGTCTACTGAAGGACGGACAGATGTTTCAAATTCACTTCAAGCATTCAGAGTAGCTGGCTAAGTTATTGAATAAGTAACTTAGTTAATGTACGCTATTTAAGAAAACGTTCGGATTTTTCAAGCATCTCAATGAACTGCCTCTATATTTTTTGATAAACATATAGGATACGCCACTTCCAGAACCCGCTAAAGCGATTTGCATGCGTACGATTTAGCGAAAATCAGAGCATCACGTTAACCACTTTTTGTCTCTAATGCTTGTTTTGTGCATACTTTCTCTTGGACTTAATAATTGCAGATGTGGTACTTTTCAAGGTTACGTCTACCGACACACATTCCGCAATTGTGTGTTGGCAGCGGCCTTCTGCGCAAGGGTCTTCAGAGTATTAATCAGGAAGAGTCGGGTCAGGGTGATGTACTGCCAGGAGAAGGTTGTGATCAGCGCGTTGATGTGATCGTACGGACGGTGTGGGACAATCCGAAATTGCACGAATGCATCACCCCACCCTTGTACACAGTCTACAAGCCGAGGGACTTGTATATCGACGAGAATGACCCAATGGGATTTAAAAGGTTCGCTTTCCTGACTGAGCTGTTCACTAATAGATAGCCAGCACGGATTCACTAATGACTTCACAGTTCGATATCATGGAAGTTGAAGGCGATAGGTGTGCCTGTTCTGTAAACACCAATGTGCGAAGATGTTTTGCTTTCTAATATGTACATGGAACTTTTGCATAGAGAATTATACATGAAAATTATATATATATATATATATATATTCTACAGGGCTGGTCGTACTATTCTCGATCACATGAAATCTGGTAGTGAGACGAACGTTCGGGACGCGGTCCTCTTCCTAATACAGGAACGCCGGCGCTGGAACTTTAAACGCAATCCATCCATCTACAGAGAATTACTTTTTCTGTTAATTCTCGAATTTGGGGCAAACATTATCAACCCGGGTTAGTCTATTCATAGCTTTGAGCTATTGTATTATGTCTACAATAAATACCATTTATTTCGAAACATAGTGGAAATAGTTGATAAAGCATAATGTAACAAGTAAAGACCGATTAGACGAAACCTTTGAAGATATATGGATTTTGCAGCCTGTTTGCAACTCATATGATATGCAAATCATAGTTTTACGAAAACGTGTGAAGTCGTCTTCAAAATGAACCCGCATTTTGCATAGCACAATATTAACTAAAAGCATCAAAATTACAAGCATAAAATAACTTATATCCAACTAATCTTCCCTTTCTTGGTTAAGAGTGATAAATTATTGATGCGCGTCTAAAAGTGATAGCTGAAAATAACCGATGCCACAGTCGTCATTGAAAAGAAGTATTCGTTTTAAAGGGGTAAACATATTTATTTGTATGTTACAGTTTCCTTCTTTTGGAAAATTAATGTTGTGTTGGTTCTATTTGACCGTTTTACAGAATGGTTGGATCGGGAATATCACCGTGTTTATGATGATGTGTCTATCACACACCGAACTCAGATCTTTCAGTACGACCGGTATCCCAGTTACCACGCGAGATTTGCTCGAAGATACTTCGGCGATTTGGATTTGCTTTAAATTCGTCTATTTAGTCGTAGATACAATTTACCGCGACCGGCAGCGATTCATTACCTCAGCCCTACATCCGCCTATTTTAGATTGCTTTCGCAAAACAAGACGCCCTTACCATAAAAGGAAATCCTATTACCGCATCATTGAGTGGTCAATACGACGCCAGCATTGGTTAATGTTCAGCTTGTAACCTAAAGTGCCGCAAATATGATCGATGCGTCCTGCGCAGTTACTTACGTTGAAGTTTAGTTTGCACTATGTGCTTACACTCGGACCAGTGTAAGAATATTGAGTAAAGTGCAATGCAGGGACCCAGACGAACTCCCGAAAAGCTTTGTATAGTTCGACATATAGAGATACATTTAGAAATAAACCTTCACATAAAAATACAGTAGTCCCGTGGTCTAGCGGTGGACATGCGCGTAATATGGTAATATAAAATGGAATCTTTGAAGGCACCAAAGACTTTGCCTCTAGAAATCTAGATTATTTTGCTTTTAGCAACTGACTATTTGATATGTTTTAATTTTTTCTAATTAATTGGAACCTAAGTAACTAACGGACTATTCATGCGTCATCATCTAGTAGTGTCAGTTGTGACCACAGCAATTGAACATTAAAGTTATTTATGCAGTTTGCGTCATAAAATGTATGACACTCCAGCACTTTAATGTTTCTTCTTATTCTAATCGGTATTGAAATGTCAGTTGATAATTTTCGTATATGCACGGCTATAAATTCATTAATTTGCGCACAGAAGTCGCTTCGCAGAACAGAACAACGACTTAAAAAAAGAATATATTTCACAAGTTCAATATATTTCACGGTAGGTGTTGATTTATATAGAGTTGTTTAGGCAGAGGATGGCGGGACAGGAAAAAGTCAAACAAAAAGAGCACTTGCATCGTGTGTATGTATGTTGAGCTGCGCGAACGAGCGGGCTGTCTAGTGGAAGCAAATGTATGTTACGAGAATTAGCTATTTGTTGCTACTAAGTGTAGGGTGTTATGCTTAGTAAAATGTACCAACAACCTGACCATCGTGAGCATCGAAGAAGCGCGTGTGTTATGATGTGTCAGCTGTTGTAGTTAAGCCACAATACGTCCGTGGGGTAAAGCGTGTCGTTTACGCACGTGAAGCGAACACGAAAACAAATATTATCTTCGAAGAGAAATGAGAATAAAGATTCAGACGTTAAGGTCATATGATGCGTCCAGTTGTACTACGATGACCTGTATTGTAAACATCATAATAGAGGATGAAAGAATGAAGAATGATATTTTGTAGGGTAGCAATCACTGGCAGCACACCTGTGGGTACAGTAAAATTTGTGGGGAACGAAAACGTGAAAGGACGCCCATTTTGAGAGCTGTCATTAGCTAGCATTGGTCATTTCGACTGTATATTCGCTCTGTTTGAAGTCGTCTCGATTAGTTAGGTAGCGACTATGCAAAATAACAGGTTCAATGTTGGACTGTGGTAAAAAAAAACGAACGAAATGTAGTAAACGGTATGAAGGAATAAAAGGAGTTGGACTGTTAATAACTGATTGATTGATGAAAAACGTTCCGTTAAGAAAAATGATTGAGATCATACTTATACTGTTTATAAGATATAGCTGTCAGTAAAACAGAAAATGTAGGTTGAACAGTGGTGGTTCATGCGAATGGTTATAACAGGTTTCTTGGATGTTCTAACGACCACTCTTTGCTGCCATTCATTTAAATCATGTTGTATGTTACATACATGGAAGAATCCCTGTGAAGAACTATATTATTACTTCGTCTCAATATAATGCATCCATTGAATACTTTGGGCAATTGAAGGTGTACCTGTTGAGTTGTGGATATTTAGTATTGATGTTTGTTAAGTGACCAAGTCCAATGAAAATAAAATCTTCGACGAACGATCAAGTTCGATACAGTTAGTTTTTCGATGAGCAGTCAACCACATTTTTAGTGGAAGTTAATCTTTGTTCAGTTTGTGTTTTTGTCGTTACATCTTTTTTGTAGACATACCATGAAAGCAAATAATGGAACGGCGTCTGTCGAATTGTCAATAAAGGCAGCCAACTAGAAATTTCGTAGACAATACGATGTTCGTGAGTCGAGCAAGCGATGGAAAAACAATGCCTCTTCTAGTCGCCTGTTATTGAACAGACATACGTTTGTGATGTTTTCAAACCAGTGTTCGGGAACGGCCACTGACGCTGTTGTCGTCATTGTCAAAACGGCCGATACGCTCATTGAGAACGACGATTATCATTACAAATGATTAGTTGGTTACGATAATAAAACCTCATAAGCAGGTTTAATCATAGAAAAGCGGAAGATAATTGAAAAGGCTAACAAAGCTGAAGGAAACACGTGCAAATAAAAACGCCCAATTAGATAGTAGTTAATCTTATCATCTGTCGCATAAAGCTGGCAGATGATGGTTGGCAAATGTGGAACTGTCGTTTAAATAGCGATCGAACAGCCAAGCTGACCTCTGATGAAATATACCGCTGTACTATTTATACATAGAATGTGTATAACGTGAAACAGACATGAGGACGATATGGTTAAAGAAGCGATAAAATTATTTATTTGCTACTGCACTAGCAACAAACAACACAATTGTGTAAATAAAACTTCGTGTTGAAAAACTTATCACTGTTATCAATACCACCGCGTAATAACCAATATTAGTAATTATTATTATCTTAAGACGTAAACAATAGCGTAGATAAGTGTCCCTGTGGCGTTGAATCAGCTTTCTTTAGATCGCTCTTTTTTGCACACTAATGTTATTATATGGTTCTTTTTTTCGGCGAGTTATCAGTTTCCAATAAAGAGGTCTCGAACAATCCGATAAAGCATCCAGCCGCGAATTACAATAATGTTTATTAAATAATCAATTTTTCGGGTTTCTCAACAGGAATGACTTGAAACGTTAGTTTCTGTTAGTCTGCCAAACTGTTAGTCTGCAGTTTTGAAACTACCTTAGCAATTCCCGTTTTACGTTTCTGCTGGAGATTTGTAGGGATTAAGCAGGAGGTTACTAGCTTAGCAAACAAGAACACGACGACTAATGTTAAAATTAAACTGCTTTATTAATTAGTTTATTTATACAAATATTAGCCAACATCCATATATGTATATTGTATATTGTTTTTCTCGATATTTTAGATCTAACACTAGTCATGAATCCTTTGTGTTCTTTGCAAGAACAACGAGCCAACAGTCCGCAAGAATTTGGAATTGAAACACGTATATACCACCATTTTACAAAACTACACATCGAAGGGCATCTAGAACTCTATTTTATGTACGTATATATTCGTAGTGTTTTTGCATGGACTCATGCGGTACAGTCCTTCGCTTCATGTTGATTAAGTGTGTCATTTGGCATACACAGCGAACAATCTATATTGAAGACTTCGCTATAGTCAACAGTAAGTAAAAAAAAAAGAAAGCGCAATTACACTCACTTCATCGTTTCACAAAGCACTTAAAAGCACTCAGGTGTTCACCCGTAACATATTACGCGACCAAACGGAACGGATACTAACTGGGGTATGAAACGCTTGCAAGTGCAATTAAAACTTCTGAGAATACCATTAATGTCATCATCATACCTGTTCAATCATGAACTACTCGGCAGTACTTTGTACAGTAAGTCAAGCTCGAAAATGCATATTAACGCAGCTAAGACTGAGCTTGTTTATTCGAGCTGTTGGGGGTTTGGTGATCCTCAAAAACGATTTTGTACACTTCATTGTAGTGGCCCACAAAGTATGCTTCAATATCAGCACGCACGAAATCCGGAAGATCGCTAAAGTCCCTGCGGTTCCCCTCCGGAAGTATAACGAGGGTTACTCCACTGCGCTTCGCCGCAATGACCTTAAATAAGAATACCATACACATTATAAGATGAATTACAGTACACACACTAAATGTTCGTTTAGTTTAGTGATGTCGTATGCTGCAAAAAAACAACACCGAATTCGAGTCTAGCACACTTGTTTTCTTTATAGGTTTCATCCACAATTTCGCAAAGCCAATAACCTTGCAAAGTAGCTTTTGCAATCGAATGGTTATCAACTCTCGCCCTAACAAATGATAAGCCAGCAAATGCCCCAAAAATGTAAAATTTGAACACAAACCTTTTCACGGATTCCGCCGACAGGTAGGACCTTTCCAGTTAGTGACACTTCGCCAGTCATAGCGATCCCTTTGCACACAGAAGTGTTCTTTGCTAAGCTAAGCAGAGCAGTTGTCATCGTTATGCCGGCGCTAGGTCCGTCCTTCGGGGTCGCTCCTTCTGGCACATGTAGATGTATGTTAGCGTCCTGCAAAAATTTGTTATTTGGCTCGATCATGGCGAGAAAGTTTTTGGCAAACGAGTGCGCTATGGAAACACTCTCCTTCATAACATCACCGAGATGCCCCGTAATATGCACCGAACTCCTGCCGCTGCCGTTATTGTGGTTGCTGTTGTTGTCCTTTTCTTTCTTATCGAGTGGGTCAGTTAACGTTGTCTCTATATACATTGTGGAACCACCCATGGCTGTCCAGGCGAGTCCAGTAACGACGCCAGGTGGAGTTCCATCCTCATAAATACTTTCGTTCACGAAAATAGGCTTGCCCACAAACTCCTGAAGATTATTCAGGCTCACATCGACATGATCACTTTCCTTATTAACAATTTTAACAGCGGCTCGACGAAAGATTTTTTCGATATGTTTCTGCAGATTTCTCACACCACTTTCACGAGCATATTGCCGAATGAGGTTTTGCACTGCTTCGGTGGTAATAGATACTTTTTCTTCTAACAGGCCGGTGCTGGTTCTTGCCTGAGGAATGAGATATTTTTCAGCAATAGACACTTTTTCTTCTGGCACGTATCCGCTCACTTCAATCATCTCCATTCGGTCTCGAAGCGCGTCAGGTATAGAATCGACAACGTTAGCTGTACAGATAAACAACACCTAAAATTGAAAGAAAAACGTCTTTTTGTTGTACTACACAAAGTGGAATATACCAACTTCACAGGTGAGTCTATTGTTTGTTCACATCTATCTTGCATTTGCCTGAAGTTGTGTATAGTAGTGTAAACCTTCAATACAAAGGAAGAACATTATAACAATTAAAGGAATATATCGAATAATGTTTGCTCGTTGAATGAATACTTTAAGCTTGGCGTTATGTAAAGGTGGCCTGAGGGATCTTGTTTTACAGTAAATAGGTCGGAAAATTTGAACTAGAATTTCAAATGGGGGAAACCCTAGAACAATTGTCTCAAATTTGTCAAGCTTACTTTTGAGAGATCGATGTTGATGTCAAGATAGTGGTCAAGAAAATTTGCGTTCTGTTCAGGATCGAGCACCTCGAGCAAAGCGGAACTCGGATCCCCTTGGTGGCCACGTCCGATTTTGTCAACTTCGTCGATTAATACGAGAGGGTTTTCTGTTTGGGTCTTCTTAAGACACTGAACAAGTTTACCAGGCATTGCCCCGACGTAGGTGCGCCGGTGACCTTTTATTTCCGCTACGTCAACCATGCCACCAACAGAAAATCGGAAATATTCACGATTCAGTGCTTTAGCGATAGATCGAGCAATGCTAGTCTTTCCAACACCCGGGGGACCATAAAAGCACAGTATTTTTCCTTGAGTGCTACCTTTTAGCTGACTCACAGCTATAAATTCCAGTATCCGCTTTTTCACATCGTCCATACCATAATGATCTTCTTCAAGTGCTTGCTCTGCGCGTTTAATATCAAGGTTTTCTTCAGAGAATTTTCCCCAAGGTAGTGAAATCAGCCACTGCAGATAGTTTCGAGTGACACTGAACTCACTCGAATGATTATCGAGAAAAGAGAGTTTGCTAAGTTCTTCCTCCATGACCTTTGTCACCTGTTCGGGCATCTTAAGCTCCTTCATTTTTTGGCGACATTTCTCTTCGATCGCGTCCTTATCTTCTTTTTCAAGACCAAGTTCTTTCTTAATCACTTTAAGCTGCTCCTGCAACATATATTTGCGGTGCTGCTGCTTTACCTTATCTTCAACCTCGCGTCCAATCTTCTGTTGAAGTTTCGTTAGTTCAAACTCTTTTTTTAGCAGTGATAGAGCTAGATATAATCTTTTAGGAATACTCTGTTCCTCAAGTATGCTCTGTAGATCCGACGACTCGCCGGCAGTTAAAGCTGCACTAAGATCTGACAAATACACGGGATTATCCACTACTTGATGACCCGAATGGATCACTTGTTTAATCGACTCACGGTATAATGGGTTCATAGCAATAATATCACGAATCGTCTTAATGATCTCCTGCGTGACAGCTTTCACCTCTTCAGTTGTCTCAAATGGCTCATTAATGACATTCTCTACTTCGACCATAAGTACTTTGCCGGCTTTCACATCTGGAGCTATGTCTACAGCACCATTAACCATGGGCGGTTCCGTTGACGTAATCTTAGTACCCGTTGCGGTATTTTGTTTTGGGATTTCAGCTAGCCGGCCATTTCCATTCCGCCGATTTCTTCTTCTGCCATTAATTCTTCGCGGTCCAGTGAGCTCATTTTCTACGATACTATCCTCGCCTAACACCTTATTTGCCCTGATCCTACGGTGTCCCATCACTATTAGCCGAAGTCGATTACCAATGTCCTGCACCTCGTGTATTTGTACAAACGTGCCAACATTGTAAATCTGATCAAGAGTGGCCACGGTATCCCCCTCGTGATTGTCATCCTTCTTCATAAACACACCAGCATACGGCTGGTTTAGTCGAACTTTTTGTTTGATAAGCTGTATTAGCGCGGGGTCAGAAATCTCAATCATTTTAATAAAACGCGGAAAGACCGGATTGCGGTTCACCGCCAAAACGGGCACTTTTGGCCAATAATCAGGCACGGTAACGGGAGATATAGCATCGCTTGCCGGATCTGCGCCTGCGTCACCCGCATCATCAGGATTGTGGTTTAAACTGGAAAACGTTCGAACGCTTGCACCCAGTCGAAAGTTACTGACAGAACCGATCGCGCGGCATTGGAGAGCCACCCGCGTGTAACTGTTTCGAAGTTGGGAAATTCTAATAGACGTTCGCATAAGCGCACTCACCCCACAAGATGCTCGCGCTAAACGAAACATCTTTTTCAATTTTTCACGCTAAAAACAGTACCTGCAACCCTATTTCACTAGAATATTTTGTCTCGCGAGTCGTTCCACGATATCTCCTCCGCACACCGCGCATTGTTTACGGCGAGTAGTGCTTCAACGCAGCCGTGGCACTCAAACAACAAAGACTATATTCAAAAATTGGCGGGAAAACAGAATGTTGGATCCCATAACCAAGAGACACCTTTCGTTGGAGAAATAAGGGAAATATTTCCGGTTTGGTTCTGTCGAATGTGTTCACTTTTAGCTTGACCTAATGTAGGTTTACTAGGAAATGTTCAATATTTACTTGGCATGGCGCAATTTTTGAAACGACTAGTTTTGTCTCTTGATACCATCTGTAATACTTAGCTATGCAGTAATTTTCTCCAAACACCAGTCATTATCATGGTATTATCACTATTTTAAACCCTTCTAGACATTCTATTCGTGATCTTTTTCGAAAGGGTTGGCAAGACAGACTAATAAAACCGATCCGATCATCAATAAAATGAACATTAAGAGTCAAATTTCTTCTGGATGTATACGAAACCACGGACATCCTCATGCGCGCAGCCTGCTGTCAAGATGATGAAATCATATAGGTCACGATATGGAAACTCTCGCCAAAGACACTATCGTAAATGAACTAGTGAACTGCACAGACTGTAACTGCGCCGAACGGCAACCGGAAGATTAGGATGAAAGAGACTACCAAATCTAATGCATCGTACAGATAATTGTTTGTTTAAAGAATACGTACGGAAGTCGCGTGGCAACCAGCTCGGGCGTGTGTACCTCAGGTGTTTCACGGCAATGTTGAAAGAAATTCCAAAGTCGGAAATTCTGAAGCATTTGGGGCAAAAGTTGGCCAAGAACAGTGTTTAACGTTTTCATTGACAATTATTGAATATTTCGAGGATTCTAGATCTCTGAAGTTCTATTTACTGGCGTAGCGCCTATGACACGTGTCATAAGCTCTCTTGAAATGCATCCTTATGTTAAACTTCCAATTAATATAGGAACAAGTATGTTGGCTAACCAAAGATATTTGGTTTATTTCTCGAAGTAATTGATAGCTACGTGCTGGGTAGCTCATTCATAATGAGAGATTTTCAGCAAGCTAACCTCAATCTGCTGCAGGGGGTGACTTGTTGAATAGAGAATAACCCGCTATGTTTCTATAAAAATGGATATGAACGAATATGGTCATAAGCGTCAGGAGCACATTTGCTCAGGCTATTTGTGCACGTGAACATCGCAACGAACTGCTACGGGTGTAGATACGCAATAAACATTCACTAAACATTATGTGTTAAAACGTCTACTTTGGGCAATCATCTTAATTACGTTACCTAATCACAATGACTTAAATGTGCTTGTTAGAATACATCAATATAATAGGTAAAAAGAAGCACATAATTTTTCTCATATAAGTTGTAGTTACTCAGAGAGAAGCTTGCAGCATGTAAATATGAAAGTTCGTCTTGTGGCGTTCGTTCGTGTTGCGTGTACCGACGACCCTTATAAGGGCTGCTTGAGCCGGTTGGAAGAGATTGATAACTCTGCCTTTGACTAGAATTCGACTATGGACTACAACGCGGGTCCAGTTGGCGTCGTCGAGGGACACTTCTATTACGTAAGAGTACTCTAGGCCATCGTCGTCGAAGAGGTGCCTAAACGGATATCCCCAATGGGTCTGAGATTGGGTGAAAGGCACACGTAGACTTCATCGAGGGGTCGAAGTCCCGAAGTAGAAAATCAGCTTCTCTGCCAGAAACGATAGTTGCTCCCAACAATGCTTTGATCACGTTGATGTTTAGATCGGCTTGATCAGGGAATGGTGGGAAATGATATATACAAGTGGCCTGTTTAATTTTTACCGTTAAAGTATCGATGATTAATGAACACTCAAAAAGCTTTGAGGGAAGAACTTCATCTTGGAGAAGGGCAGCTGAGATAGCGGCAAGATGAATCTGAGAAGTAAAAAAGAGCGTACGGTTGAAGTTTATGACATTTATTTGGTTTAGAAATCTTGATTGAACTTAACTTTACAAATTTCAACTGATTATTCACATCAGATATTTTATTTGTCTTTATTTGGCCACTATATTCCACTCTAGGCTAGCAAAGTCACAGTGTATATACCAATATAGCGTGTAATATATTATAATAGATCAAATTGGATCGCGATATATTGCTATTGATTCAGGCAGTGTTACTTTACCCAATTTATTGGAGTTTCAATAAAAATATCACTATTTCCTATAAAATGCTTTGGAGTTCTCTGAAATTGTTTGATTTTATTAGAACCACATAATTTCACCGTCCTTTAATTAAACCCTTCTACTATGCTGACGGATGCTACTTAAGAAAGATCTACATTTATATTACATATCGTTTATCGCAGAGTAGTGCGTAAAATATTTTATTTCTGCAACGAATACCGTTACTGTATTGCAGGCATACGCACGACTCTCCTTTGAATGACGATGCCCGAGGCCCTGAGAGTGCCGCTAAAGGCCATCTGCTCCAGTCTAGTCATGTTATTTTCGTTGGGTATAAAATTGCAGTTCCGAATTGTACAGGGCTACTTGGATATATAATGCTTTGAAAACCAGCCCCCAGCTCATTGTTCACACGTGTCGAAAATGCAGAATCTCTTATCCAGCAAGTAGTATCGACTTGACTAGACGAAATTTTACGACTATAACCTTTTTTATTATAGTGAAAAGTAAATACACTAGGTTTCTCGTATTGAACAACGCACGTTTTGTTAGATAGAGTAGAACGACACGTCAACAGAAATTCTCTATATTTTTTGCGTGAAATAAAGGTTTAAGTTTATAATTGTGTGGGTTTACAAAACATAAAGGTTGCTGCTAGCAGTAAATGCATAATATTTAATGGTTATATTCAGTCTAATTTGTGAGCTATGGTTACATCAGCAATACAGGTGTTTACAGCGATTTGGTGGTCTATATAAAGCATGTTATGACAGCTAGTTGTTAGCCGCTGATCTTCCTGGAATGGATTTTATGGAAACGGCCATCCGGGTAAGGTGAAGTAGAAACAGCTTACCTTATTTCTTCGCAGCCGGACATACCTTATTTAGAAGCTCCTTAGACTTGCCCTCCCATCGTCTGAAATCATTTTGATGCCAGCACCAGACAGCTCGAAAGACGCGGATTTCTTCATCTCTCCACGGTCAGCATAACAATTCCACCAAAGCCCCTGGGGTTATGTCTTTAATGCTTTCGCATTCAAGAGCGGCAGGCATTTCGTCTTCGAGGTAGCGCAAAATGTGAGCCTGTATCGAATTATTGGTAAGGACAAATGCACTTAATAAAACGCTGGTAAAATTTTCACCGACAAGCCTATAATAATTATGGAAGATTAAATTGACGTAATTAGGTTGTAGGTAGATCATTTGGTACACAGTCACAATGTCTTCTCTTTAATTGTAGTAATCACCAAACGCATAAACTTACGTAGGCCTTAATGACGGTTATATGCGCAATTGTAAGTAAGACTGGCGTAAGTATAATTACAAAACCAGTTCCGTTTCAACTATAAGAAATTCTCACGTAACGAATGTATTGGATAACCGTATCAAACGAAAAACAAATTCGCAGTGTCCGTGTTGAAGACCAAACAGATATAGTCATATTATTAACTGGGAACTGGGAAGCGAAGGTGCCTGAACACAATTGGGGACCGATCTTCTCTCAATAGGAGTATCTTATCAGGGGTATATAGCAATCTTGTACCCGACTGGTAGCAGTTTTGTAAGCGAAACCTGTAAATGGGTTTGCGCTCAGTAAGACTATAGTTATTATGTTCCGCTTTTATTAAACATAACCTGCAACGTTTTTCTACCACCTGTATCCGATAGATACCGTGACCTCAAACAAAACAGTTTGTTTATAAAAAAATTATAACAAAATCATCCGTAGTTCTACTATAGATTTTTTCATAAGTTTAAGTTCGTGTTCGAGACGTAATTTGACAAACAAAACGATGACAGCGAACAGGAAATTAATTGCTTGTTCATGGTAATACGCGTAGCGTCGGGTACTCGCTCACCTTGTAGGTCATATTAATAGCAGCAAAAGCCTTATCGTACGCTTGCAGTGCCTGAAAGACGTCGTGAAATGTCGATGCTGTTTCGGGAGATCTGTCTAAAGCTAACTTGGGTTCACACGGAACTTCTTCAATTTCCGAGATGCGTCCAGCTAATGCGTACTGTCCCAATATGAGGCCTATAAACAGGGGTCGGTTCGACACATTCATAGTTTACAGTGAAATTGCTAATATTGCTAGTACTCTTCCTATCGGCCTCGGTTTTGTCGAAACAGCGCTCTCCCTCGAGCTGGATGTGGTGAATTCACAGTGCCCAGCGATAGACCGGCCGTATTTTATCTCTCGGGAGACGACTACTACACTCAGACCCCTGCTCAGCGTCCTCCGGATTGTATCTCAATTGTTAATTAGTTGGAGTCGGCCTTCAGAGCTCCTCATAGTTTAGACAAAACCTGCAATTTTGGTAATACTGTCTTATTGAAATTTATGGATATCTCACCGATGTATGTAAAATAAAGATGAAGTGCAAACTAACAGGATTTAAGTAACGAACATGCTCGCAGAGAATATAGAGAATGCGTGGTCGGCGGGAACTTATTCCAAAATGGAGTACGAGGTCGTCGTCGGCAGGTATAATGATGATTTATTGATGTTCGGACATTTAAGGTCAGGTGCTGGGTTTCTGACAGATGTTTATGTACCGAGCACTGGCATCAAAAAGAAACACAGAGACGGCTGGCTTTTCGTTTTGTACGGACATTTATTAGGTTCTCGCCAACAAATGGTACTATATGAACAAGCCAAAAACCGTAAATTCAGTATCTATGTTATGGAAGATATGTGTTCCACTTGAGTAAATAAGTTGTGACATAGATTTTTTCTATTATGGCGGTTATAAGCTCGCTTCAAAATACCAGACAAATAATGTCTATTGAAAGTTCAAACAAAGAACTGTACATTGCCTATTCGAAGCACTAAATCTAACCCGGTCCTATCCTGAAGCCAGTTTGGAGAATTTTATTATCAAATCTTTATCAAGGGGTTCTAAACATTTGAAGTTTAATTTCTTTTAGTTACCAATATAATATTTTTCTGAAGATTTAAAATTTTCAGATAAACAAATTAGGAAACGCAAGATCTAAAAGATTTGTCTGATCCATCCCCTCATTATTATCAGCCGAACCCACTTATTACATGCAATATTATTGCATAACCATAAAGAAGATCAGATCTTTCATTTAGAAAGGAAGACGGATATAGTAAATGGTATCGTTTGTATGAATTGGGAGAAATTAAATGTTTTTTTTTTAAAAGCAAACGAATATGATAATCACACTAACGATACCATTTTGATTACTTTACTTACCATTATAATTCCACTTACTATTTGAGTTAAATCACTATCATCTAATGCCAAATTGACGTATTTGGACGCTACATTTAACGAGCGTATTTCACAAAACAAAAACCAGACGTATATTTGACATTATATCGTCTTTATTGTTTTTTTTTATGTCTTTCCCGTTGTTTGATGGGATACATCTAGCTATGTACATACGTTTCCCCTACTAATAGCATGTTCCTTTATTGTCTTCCAACTATTTTCTAGAAACAGTTTGTATTTTTACTTTTAGTTGACCGCCTCATTTCTAGCATGCGGTACAGTGTATTTATACAGGATGTTATCACCATCATGCGGTATATAGTGCTTTCATCTGTTATGTACATGACCCGCCAAATTACAGCATGATCGGCTAGCGGTAAGTTCCCTGCATCTAATGTATTCGAGACGAGTTCCTGTCAGATGTTGTAAGATCTTTTTTTCTTTTACCGGTGTGTCCGATCGACGCTGCATTGTCGGTTTAGCATTGAAGAAAATATAACTAAAAAGATTTTACAGGTACTTTTTAACGTGATTAGGTCAAATAGTTCTCCGGAACTACTGCCATAACGTAAGTAAACATAATTCTTAATATTAACATTTAACTGAGATTTTCAAGGGTTCTAGTCGATTCATAGACCCTTAAGTAACGCATAAGTCAGTCTATGAGTCTATAATTCAGCTTAGTCCATTAGAACAGGTATAGTCCTAATACTTAACCGATAACTAGGTATTATCGATGTTCCCTCAACGTATTTGTGGCACTCGCGCTCTTTTTCTCAGCTAAAGTACTAACCATTTTTACGACTACTGTTATCAGTAGAATTAAATAGAAATCCAACAAAAAGCTAACTTCCGCCTGTTCACACGACGGATCTCTATCTCTTATCGTCTTTCGTTCACTCGACATTTATGTACAAGTCAATAGGCATTTTAATATGTTAACCTAATCTGCAAAAAGAACTGTATAATTTTTGTCAGCTCTATGTATAATATGTACGAATTGGCATATATCTCTTCCTTCGCCTTCTCCTACGTTACATTTGTTTCCATTTTTTTGTCGTTGTGATTTCGTGCATGCGCGCACACATACAAGAACGACAATTCATTTCAGCTAGTATCAACAACCTGAATGTGTTCGAGAAACAGGGCCAACGAGTCAAACTGTCGTCTCGCTATTAGTGCTATCGGTTCTTCGCGAATGGCGTTCGGGCCTCATCAAGTCGTTATAGTACTCGCGAGCAGCTTCCGCTGAAATCTCATCTTCGGATTTTCGTCGAGCAGGTTTAACGGGCGCGTGCAAAGGTGAAGGTAGACTGCTCACTTGGTTTTGGTCGGGGTGCGCAAATCGGCTTGATGGTACCATTAACACACTGCTTCCATTCTGGTAAGGCCTTCGGAGTGGTTTAAGATTGCCTATAGCAGCTTCGTTATAAGAGGGCATGCCAACCATACTGCTCATTGCCCCCACACCGTTCAGGGGCATTCCTGTCATAATGCTGTGGGCCGGTGGTAAGCCAGCTGAATGAGGCGGTACCGGTGTGCCTCCATTAGCCATCATGTGGTATTCCATATTGTCAACAGCCCGATGAGGTCCTGCTGGCCCACTGATCAGGTCCATGTAGTGGCCTGACGATAGCCTTGGATGCTGCATATGCGTGCTGACTGGCATCAGGTAGTCACATTCATCCACTGGCAATTTCGTCATATACATTGACTGTGAACGTTTAGAGTGGCCGGTAGCTGGATGAAAAGCGTCATCGTCTCCTTCCTGCAGTGAAAATCTGTTCGACTGCAATGAAGACGATTGGCTGTTCTCGCGGCTGCGACCATGCAGATGGTTATTGCTATGATTGATCGCATTGTGATTAACTGGCGGGAAGACAAATACATCGCTGCCTTGACGGTAGCCGCGACCAGCGATAGGCGCATCGCCCTCGAATCCTCGGTCGTCCATAAACTTCTTGATGGGTGTTGGCGGTGGCTCACTGGTCGAACTGTTTGTGCCAGACCCGATCACGCCGCCGACGGCGCCACCCTGTAATTCTGCCTTAGGTTGAAGATACTCTTCTGCGTCCATGATTACCCCAGGCCCGCCATCGATTGGCATTGAAAGGTTCTTGATAAGTTCTTTTTCGTCCTGCGCAGTGTAGCTGGGCAAACGCATAAGCTTATCGCCAGGTACGACCAGGTATCGCCCGGGGTCGCGCGCCATCTTGGCAAACTCGTCGGCCAACTCTTGAAACGTGGGTCGACTTTCGGCATGGAGCATCCAGCATTTGATCATAATCATATATACGTCAATAGTGCAGATCGCCGGTTGTGGGAGACGCTCTCCTTTCTCTAGTAAATCAGGGACGTCTCTAGCTGCCTGGTGCTCGTAAGGTCGCTGTCCGTACGTGAGTAATTCCCAAACTGTCACTCCGAAAGCCCAGACATCCGATTTGGCCGTGAAAATGCGATGTTGAATACATTCGAGTGCTAGCCATTTGATTGGCATTTTTCCACCAGCAGCCTTGTACTCATCTTCATTAGTATCAAGCAGCTTCGCCAGACCGAAGTCAGTAATCTTGATACAACCGGGTGTATGAAGTAGAACGTTTCTGAGTGCGAGATCCCGATGCACCATTCTCTTTTCTTCGAGGTAGGCCATTCCACGTGCAATCTGCGTACACCAGTTTAGAAGCGGTTTCGAGCCGATTTTGTCTTTGTTATTTCGTACGTAGTCGAGAAGACATCCGAGCGGCATGAGTTGCGTAACAAGCATTAATTGCTGTGTCATACAAACGGCGATGAGCTTGAGCACATTTGGATGGTCTACGGTGGCCATAATAAACGCTTCCTCCAAGATGTCTTTCTCTTTGTCGGAATTTTGTTGTGTGCCTTCACGAAGAACTTTGATAGCTACAGGAATCTTGACGTTGCCCTCGGGGACCCATACGCCTTTGTATACAGTTCCAAATGCACCGTAGCCGAGAATACCGCCCTTGCGAAGGTCGGCCTCCTTGACCACAACCAACTGGGCAAGGTTAGGCTTAACGTTCGAGGGTCGAATTGGCTCATCTTCGATGGTGGTCATTCGTAGCGCCATTTTGTTGCTGGTGTCTCGATGCTTATAACTCTGATAATGCTTGCATCCGACAGCAACGCATGCCAGTAATCCGACAAAGCCTATCACGGATAGAATGATCAGGGTCATGGTGAAATTATCGTCTTCAGCGCTTCCGGCGTAATTTAAATTTTTTTTAGGATCCTCATCAGAGCATGATGGCTCGTTGGCTAGATCGTAAACCTTGAACGGTTTTTCTGTAGGACAATTCGAAGTGCAGTTGAACGTCGTCTGGTTAACGTTCGTATAAATTCGAAAGTTTCTGCAGTTAGTGCACTGACTCGGCCATGGTCCAGAGCAACCACGGCACTCGGTGTGACATGGTTCACACCGACGATTTTGTTCATCCGAGTAGTGATCCCGAGGGCAGTGGTCCTCGCATTGTTCGCCATTACTGTAGTGCAGGCATTCGCAGACAGCAACATGTATGCCATATGAAGTACAGTTCTTGCATCGTGCGTGGCATTTTCGGCAGACCTGTTTACCGGTGAGCGATTTCAGCACACCTTCTTCCTGTGGGTGTACATATTCGTTGTAATAGCCCTCGGGGCAGGCCTCGTCGACTTTGAGACACTGCTCCAGCACGTTCGGGTTGTTCGGGCTGACAATCGCTTTTTCGCACGAATTGCACGCCCGAGACCCAATCGTATTGTCTGGGCCAGTGCAACCATCGATGCAGTTCTCGTGGCAAGGCAGACATTCATCGTCTTGTTGATATTTTGTCTTTGGACATTTGCTAACGCAGTAAGGTCCGTCACGAACGTTCATGCACTTTGTGCACCGGTCCGGCCCGGGTCCAGTGCATGAACCATCACACTCTGCGTGACACCGCTTGCAGAGACTATTCCCAGCGTCGTAAATACCCTGACTAGGATCACAGCGGTCAACGCACGTATCCTCAAGGCGGTACGACCGGCAGCTGAGGCATTCTGATGGCTCGGGGCCCCAGCACCCACTTGTCGAGCACTGTGAATGGCATACCAATCCTTTCTGCATGCATGTGGTTGAATTTGCGTTACCTTGAAGCAGTTTCGTCCCCGTGGTGGATTTCATCACCTGCTTCCAATCCGTTGTGTCAACAAAACAAAGGTCTTTATTCTCTAGGATGGCGACACCGCCCGATTGGATACGCTTCAAACTTCGTAAGTTGAGCGATCTCAATGAACTTTTGACGATATACAATGCCGAAAAGTATTCGGTCAAATCGCGTCCTCCAATGACCTCCAAATTTCTGAAGTAGTGCAGCGAGGTAAAGTTTTCATGCGTCGCTTGAATGTTAATGAAGCCGGTGATCTCCTTCAGGGTACTGAACACCTCGAGCACGGAAGGATCCATTTCCTGATAGCGAGGTCCGAAAGTGAAACTGTAAAAGAGAACCACGTTTTTTAGTTTTAGGCAATAGAAGTTAATTATAGAGGAAAACAAATTAAAGTTTTGTACACATAACCATGGAATAATATTATTTCTTTAGAATCTCAGTGGGTAATCGTGTCACCTAATCCATGCTAATACTATACTTACTTGGGATAGACTTCCTGGAATCCGGCAAACGTCTGGTCAAGGATCGTTATGGAACCCTCGATGATAGTGCAGTCCTTGAAGTCATTGATATTCCCGGAGGTTACGATCTGAGTGCCGCGACAATCTAAATAATTCATCAGATACAATTCGTTACTTTGCTGTAAAAATGGGAGTGATCGATGGCTTAATGGAGTTTCGGCAACAATCGCAGATACGCTGTCACAATGGCATCGCATATATTTCAATGACTTGTAGATGATAACAGTCGGTCTTGTTTTCAGCTTTTGGTGAAAATACTCATAAAAAGTTACAGTAACTTGTTATTGTGATAATTCAACTATCACCGTCCAGTTTACTGCAAGTTAATACTTACTTTTTGGACAAGGACCATCACAAGCAACGCATTCTCGATTGTGAGCTTTCTTGCCTGGTGGACAATTACGGACACATGCGCCAAGATCCTTGAGAAGGTGTTCAGGACAATCTTTGACGCAAGTCGCTCCGTAGGCATATTTACCCTCGGGATTTGTCTCCCATGAGTACGTAATAGGATTATAGCGATTCATGGGCGGACATTCTTGCTTGCATACGCCGTCGTCGTAAAAGTTTTGACAAGCAAGACAGTCGGATTGCTTAGGGCCGACACATCCGCCTGCGCAGAAAAGGTGGCAGCACTCACGCGGATTAGGACCGAAGCACCGGCCTTGATGACATTGTGGAGAGCAATTTATTTTAGAGAACTTTTGACAGTTATGGGCACCTTCACCCCAACATCCGCCTTTGCACGTAGGGTCACAAGCAGGACATTCACGTTCAGGATGGGTGAAGTTATACTGGTGGACCATTTTAAATTGGGGCCCCGATAAGATTTCCTCCCAGTCGATATCTTTCATATGACACAAATTATAATTGTTAAAGAAGCCAACCGATCCTCGAAGGATGTCGCGAAGTGCTGGCATCTCTAGGTTTTCCATCTTTGATAGAGTCACAATTAGGGCATACTGTTCGTCACCAAGGTTGAGTTTAAACAAAGATCGACCACGGATAATCATAAGTGACGGCAATACAATCTTTTGTACATCGACATGCGATATCAAGACGTAGCCGGTAACCTCTCGGATGTCGCGCAGGAAATCCAGGTCATACGAAGAGTTCTACAACACAAACAGATAGAGACAGAAAAACTAAGTAAGTAATTAGATTAGATATGGGAGTTAATGTTCGTACTTGTGAGAACCACGGATGTCCTGTGAGCACTATGCGCCGCAGTGGAAATTCGATCGGCTTTTAGCATTACGATGTTTCGTTTGCTCGGGTTGCTACCCAAGGTGGTCTAATATATGCTCATAAATCCTAAACATTGGAAAACTTCCGTATACTTAAATCTTAATAAACAAATATATAAGTAAAATAATTTAAATACATATTATTAGAAACTCTTTCATAGACAGGAATGAAGTTACCTGAAGCCACGTAAGCTCCAAATTGCCGTCAACGTAAGTGCAATTGGTATATCGATCGCGCAGATTTTGGTAATGATGCTCCCGGTTCGACGGAACCGACATCCTTCCTGAAGTTCCGATGCATACTAAAAAGTAAAAGTGTCAACAAAAGCGCAGAGTGAATTCACGAGCCAGATAGGAGCAATGCCAAAGTGTTGTTCTGTGATCTACTTAGAATACAAATTAATTGGTTCTTTAAGAAATAAGTGACAACGAATAGATCAAACACCAACGAAACTCCATTTGTTATGATACCAAAACACGAACGAGTAAACTCTTTTATAGCGTTTGTTAGCGATAACACCTAGTGTGTATGAATGACATCAGAATAAAATAGGACGCTCATATATATATATATATATCTGTTAAGGGCACCCATCGTTCTGTCCTGTGCTTTCTTTCTGGCTGATCAAGTTCGGTGACTACTGACAGAAGCCGATCGATTTTTTGCAACAACTGCTCGTGATTTATATGCCGTCCAATTTCTCCATTTTAACCCACAAAAAATGAATTCAAGGTATCTACAACGAAATCAATGGGATAACACATTAACGGATCATCGGACGACTAGATAAGACCTATATAGATAACTATTCTTTGATTGACAGTACAGAACAACGACAGTCAGTCAACCGGAAAGTATCGAGCGCATCGAATTATTTCTATTTACAATGGCTCTTCACTAGGACTATAAATTTCTGTTTTCTTTCCTCTCACTGCGGTTATTGATTTTAATCTGGAAGCAAAAGCGAGAATAATGAAGCGATAAAAACGGCAAACGAGAGCGGCTAAACAAATAATGGACGAGACAGTTAAAGACTACCGAACAAACACTTAAATATCACTTAAATTTATATAACTTCGATTTATGATTGTATGAATATTCTTTATTATTCATAAAAAAAAAGGACGAATTTGCCGATGATAGACTGTTAATAGTGAGCTTCGAAATATGAGTGTGTCTGATTAGGCTGAATCTTAAACATCGACCATAACCGATGCTCGCATGGATCACTGGCTGATGAGCGCGGCTTTAAATTAGGAACGACCTCAAAACATAAATTAAACAGCGTCAAACTAGAAAAGTATCCCCATAAGTGCAAAATATATTCTTTATTCTATTAGGGCCAGTAGGTATCAGAAGGACACACTACGGTCCTAGCGAGAAAACTAGACGCAGAATAGAGGAAGAGCACAGGAAAACGGAGTGGTAAACAGTACTGTTGGGTCTAGTAAACATTTTAGCGGTATATTTGGTTTGAGATAGACATCGAGATTTCAGGGGAGAAACGGCGGTGCTGTGATAGGTCCGTCATCGTCGGACACCTTTAAGCCTAAGTGCGGCTACCTTAAAAAGCCTATATTCGATGTTAGATCCGCTCTCGTCATCATTGACCGTTGACGATACAATTACACTATCTAGCTAAGGCTTTTTGATCACACACACGGATAACTAATCATTGCGATCCTTAGGCCAACTCGTCCTTCCTGATAATGTCTCGGCGATAAAGCAGCAAAAAAAGCCTCTCTTCTATTTTAAATAGTTGTTGAACTTATTGAACAAACTGCGCGAGGCAATAACCTAAGTGCCCCACCACTTTTTAAGAGGTATATCACCCATCTACTTCGCATTAGATTTAATCGTATCCAAATATCTACTTGCCGGCAAGCGAGTTATGGGTTCACTAGGAAACACTTTCGACACCCTCGGTACACGGACGGACTAACGAATCGACCGACTCACTTGTCAATTATCGGTATTATTGAACAGGCAAAATGGCCAGGTATCGTTTGCAAGAAGGGATGTACGTAAATAACCAGTGTAAACATCTACCGTTGCGATTTGACCAAAATTGTTTCTCTGTATAACTACCGCCATACCTAGGACCCACCTATTCCTTTCGTATAGACCGTAAGAAGCTATACATTGCGAAATCTATATATATATGTTCATTTACCTATCTAGCTAGGTTTCGGTTAGGCTAGGCTGAAAACACGGCATCTCATCATAAACAAGGCGTGTGTGCTTGTGATCTCCAGCGACATTTTCATGTCACTTAGTATGTTTGAGCATTGCCGCTACCAATGGGTATGATTTTAGCATGAACGTTCGTAGTACCGCCGACATGTAACTGGCAGACGAAATCACGCCAAAATATGCCGCTAAAAATCAGGTCGTTTGTGTCATTGTGGTTACCGACTGACAATTCTGGTTTAATACACATTTGTCTCGTATACATTTGTAT